CTATATCTTTGTGGTTCTCATACAATTTAGCAAAGGCAACCCACAAGGTATGAGGCTTCCCAACTGCTTTCATGGGATCAACCGTCCTCACTGCTTCTGTGTAAGTCAAAATCTGTTTGGTTGGGCTACCCTCAAAAATCTTTACCCTCCTGTGCCATTGCTCCACATTATGCGGTTTTAACGTAAGAGGACACTATTGGCCAGTGCCGGCCTCCTGTTCATTAAATGCTCCAACCGAGCCAACCTCATATCTATATCCTTGTCATCATGCAACCAAAACCCCTTAAATATTGTTAAGATGTGAACATAATTATATTTAGAATTATTGTAAATATTTTATACTTTAGAATATTCTCTTTGTATACTTTATACCTTAGAATATTCTCTCTGTAAACACCTATATATAGGTCATTGTACATACAGTATAATTCAAGAAAGCAATAAACCTTTCTTCACATATTTCTCATTCTTTTCAGTTTCTAACATGGTATCAGAGTTATAAGCTCTTGGTTCTTTTCTCTTACCATCGCTGTTGGGTTTTTTGGAGTTGGATTTTCAATTCCATTCCAGATCTGAAACCTTGTTATTGGGATCTCTTCTCATACAGATTGGATTGTTTATCCTCGATTCTCAGACCCTTTCTAAGGTATTTTGTTGGTTTGTTATTTCGATCTTGGCATCTATTTCTCTATATTTTTAGAGTTTTTCAGTATTGTGAGTTTTCTGATTCTATGACGAGTTTTGAAAGGATTGTAACTCATCCTGCTACTGCTACGGTTGCCAAAAAAGTGATAGAACAACCTAATGTCAACCTTGAATCCCTAAAACAGGTGATATTAAATCTTTTTAATGCTCCTACTGCCTTATCTACTGCTCCGGGTACCAAACTTTGGTATTTCGATTCTGGTTGTTGTAACCATATGTCTTCAATTACTACTCATTTCTCTTCAATGTCACTTAATAATTCATTTCCTGATATTTATTCTGCTGATGGTTCCCCTATGAATGTTAGTCACATTGGTAATGTTTCTACAAAGTCATTGACTTTACCAAATGCCCTTTTAGTTCCAAAACTTAGTTATAATCTTCTATCTGTCGGTCAATTATGCGATCTTGGTCTTGAAGTATGTCACGCCCCAAAACCCAAGTTCGAGGCGCGACAGACGCCGTGCACTCGTGAGAGGGTCCCACAAATGCACAAGGCTCGGAACTTATCAAATTCACATCTGACAATCCACAAAATCTGATGATCAAATTTTCATAATTCGCTGTAATATCATAAGTCTCCAATAAAATCTCCACATACAAGATCATGATTTATTTCTAAAATCTATATCTAATCACAATATGGCTAGCCTTCTAACTCGTCACTTTCCGTGGTTTCCTCATCCTCGGTTTCACTTCCTGAAATGGTGGACAAGGAAAAACTATGAGATAAAGTCAGTAAGTAAAATATGGAGTGCCCCTTGGGTAAAAATGTAAGCATGCCAGATAAACCATGTAAGTATAACAGAACTTTCACTGATAAACCGTTAATGCAAAAATCAAATTCAGTTCAATAGCAAAACGTTCAATGACAAAACCGTTAATGCAGAAGAAAACTCAGTTCAGTAGTCTCATCTATAAGTCATGGCCAGTGTTATAACAACCCACTGGCAGGCGACAAAAATTTACCAATGTGTTCGCCCATTGGCAGGCGTCGGAATGTGCCAATGTATTCGCCCAGTGGCAGGCGTCAGAAATTACTAGTGTTTAACCCCCACTAGCAAGGTTACAGGAACGAACCGGTTCTATCAATAACATATCGACATGCGCCGACATGTGCTAGCGTTTAACCCCCACTAGCAGGATCATCAATAACATATCGACATGCGCCGACATGTGCTAGCGTTTAACCCCCACTAGCAGGATCATCAATAACATATCGACATGTGCCGAGATGTGCTAGCGTTTAACCCCCACTAGCAGGATCATCAATAACATGACCACATCAGAGACAAAATCATGCAAGATTTACAAAAGAAATCCATAATTCACAATCGAAATCCATAATTCACGATCGAAATCCCAAATTTCAGAATCGAAATCCATAATTTCAGAAATAACCAAAAAATTCCATGTGGGCATGGATTTAACAGAAAATCATAATTTACAAAACTCTCAGTTCATCAAAACAGTTCAGTCAATTCCAAATAAGCATGCTCTACTCGATGCAATGAAAACAATTTCATTCCAATCATGCTCAATTCCAGAAAACAATGAAATTCTCAGAAAAACCATCACAATTTCCATTTCGGTTTAAATCACACTCAGATGCTGATAAAATCAATTTAAAGCTTGCCACCATCTCAAAAACAGTTTAAAACATGCTTTAAAATCAAAGGGCTTTACCATAATTTACTTACCTCACTCGCACAGAACAGAAGGCTAACCCAAGCGCTACGGTGACAGAACAATCAAAACCTAATCACAATATTCCACAATTAATGCCACACAACCACAAATTCACAGTAAAATCATCATTAGCACTACCTCTAATCATAGTGCTATTTCTATCAATCTCCACATAACCGGACATCTCCAAACTCATTCTTATATCACAAACTAAACCTTTAAATCCCCATTAATCGTTAACCCTCGATGTGTGAACAGTGCCTATAAACAGTACCCTTGAACAGTACCCTTGAACAGTAACTCCAACTTCCAAAATTGGCCAAAACACTACCTAATTCACGAGATTTTTCACACAAAACATCACAGCAGCTAATTCAAGCTAAATTCTACTTAATCAAGCTTAAAACACATTTAAAAGGGCTGCCAAATTCATCACCTATCCTAGTAGATTCGGACAACGCAGAGCATCAACTAATGGACAAAACCCAGCCATTAAATGGGTCATTTTAAGCTTGGAAAAGACGGCTACTTACCAGAATTTAGCAAGCAAAACCGAGCCTAGCAGGGGGGGG